GAAGCTGTGGTGTCTATCCCTTACATAACACAAATAAGTTAAAGGAGCTTCAATGCCCTCTCCCTTCACAGGAAAAACTTGTAACAGAAATTCGTAGTTCCACCATCTTGTCCAAGCTGGACCTGCATAAGAGCTATCTGCAAATTTCTTCACATGAGTAGAGCAAACACCTAACTGCAATCATCACTCACAATGGTGTGTTCTAATACAAGTGCATGCTATACGGTCTGTCATCTGCTCCAAGTGTGTCCCAGAAGATTTTATCACCCATCCTGTTAGGTATTAAAGGTGCTATCATTGATGACATTATTGTCCATAGCAGACTTTGAGTGGCATGATGAACACCTTTATGAGGTTCTCTCTCTTCTCTTTCTTCTTAATGAACATCATCTGTCTCTGAACACTGGCAAATGTGTTTTCAGTGCAGCTAAAGAAGATTTCTTCAGTTACAGCCCACGTGCAGTTGGAGTACGCCTTCTAAAGTCAAATGTAACAGTCATTTTTAGACCTTCCTGCACCCAAGTATACAAAGGGACTGGCTTCTTTCTTGGGTACCCCTAATTCCTACCTCAAGTTCATCCACACAGGAATTGGCGCCCTTAATTTCGGCTTTGATCTGAACTATCTTTAATCAATGCTGCGTTGCCCATGGAACATGTGTGGTAATTCCTGAGTCCTTACAAGTACGAGTGCTTCACATGGCTCATTGTGTGCATGAAGCAGAGATGCAGAGAGGCAGTTTAGTGGCCGAAGATGAACACTCACATGGAGCAGTTGGTCCTCAAATGTGAAGCTTGGGTATGAAGCAGAAAGTCAGTCAAGCCTGTGCAACCTCCTTTGTGACCTGTTCCATGGCCTGCCAGCCTGTGGCAACATCTTTAGAGAGATATTGCGGGAAATTCATTGCCACTGCTTTCACAGAAGAATCTAATTGTTGTCCATGATATTCATTATAAGTGGTCTAAATTATCCTGCACTAGTTCGGTCACTTCTGGTATTCAAGTACGGCCTGGCGCGAGTCATTATTTTCCAGGTCGCGGAAAACTCCGTTTCAGCATCCTTTAGGGACCAGATATATTTGCCCAACTCTGTTGCGTTCCTTTTGTTCTCATTTCTAAATGAAGCTGTATGGTTTCTAAATCTTGTTTTAAATTGGTTCGCAGTAAGGCCGACGTACGTTTGGGTTCCAAAGGGACTTTCAAATGTGGCCTGGTAGACCACATTTTGAATTAGGCAATTGCCACTTAGCGGATAAGAGTGCTTGTCTCCACAATTGCATGATTTTTCTTGTGATTGAGAATTATTTGCGAGGAAGGACTTGTTGTGGGCGTTGATTTTTCTTTCCAAATTTGGCATGCATGAATAGCTTACTTTCAAAGTGTTCCTATTAAAAATTTTTCATTCTGCATAGGAGAGATCACAAGATGTTAAATTTATAGGGTGTAGATCTGAAATGTTCTCAACGTTTTCTTGCGGTGAACTGGCTCGATCAACAACGTCAAGAAGGACAATCTCGAACCTAAGAACTTGAGAAAAGCCAAGGACAACCTTCTAAGGGAGGAGAGATCGGCCTTAGGTAAACTTAAAGCTAGCGATAATGTGTTTAGAATTCAAGACAAGGGATCTAGATGTGTTATTATTTCTCAAAATGAGTACCAAGATAAAATGTTAAGGTAGCTTAATAATGATCTCCACTATAATAAGCTCAACCAGGACCCCACCATTGAGCATTTTGAGAAAGTCAAAATTTGGGGACGGAAATGGTTTAGTGAAGGACAGATTTGTCAGGAGATTGCCACTTGGGTTGCCAGTTTGGAACCTAAACCGGGGGTGGCTTTTGGCAATGTGAAGACTCATAAAGAGGGCAACCCTCTCCGCTTAATTACATCTTGCTACGGAACGGCAATCGAAAGACTTTCTGCTTTTACTGAATTTTATCTTAAGCCTCTCGCCCAAAATCTACCCTCGTTTGTTAAAGATACCACTGATCTTATCAACAAGATCCAAACATTTAATTCTGAGAAAGGTCTTTTACCACCTGGGTCTCTGTTGGTCTCTTGGGATGTCGTTGCTATGTTTCCCAATATTGATTATAATTTAGGCATTTCAGCTCTTAGAAAAGCTCTTGATTCTAGATCGATCAAATTTCCACCCACCGAGTGCATTGTTGAGGCAATCGAAATTTGTCTCCAAGCCAATAATTGTCAATTTTCTGGGGAAAATTTTGTGCAAAAACATGGTACGGCTATGGACCCAAAAAACGCATGTAGTTATGCCGACTTGGCTATGAATTTAATTGATGAGAAAGCTAAGTCTGGAGGTGGTGTGAAACTATTGTTGTGGTGGAGATATAGGGATGCTGTTTTTGATATTTGGACACATGGTTTGCTTAAATTATTAGAGTTTACCGAGTACATCAATTCCCTTTATCCCACTATCAAATTTGAGTTGGTGTACTCTGAGCATACCCTCAATGTCTTGGATCTCACACTGCACCTTCAAGACGGGTTCATCATTACTGACATTTATGCTAAGCCTACAGATAGCCATCTTTATTTACCCTTTTCCAGTTCGCACCCGGCACACTGTAAAAGGGCAATCCCCCACGGAGTTGCTTCACGCATTAGGCGTAACTGTTCTACGGATGAGTTTCTTTACAAGAGATGTGTCGAATACAAAGGGTATCTTAAATCCCAGGGTTATAATACAGATTTGGTTGACAATCAATTTGACAAAGCGCTGAGTATTGAAAGGTCAGTACTCCTGAAGAAAAATGTCAAGTCCAACGAAAAAGTATTTCCGTTAGTCCTCGACTATAATCCTATCCTCCCTGATATTCAGAGGGTTATCCAAAAACATGCTCATCTCTTAAGATCGTCACCCGAGTTATCGGAAATTTTTCCATCAAAATCGATTTTTCCAGCATATCGCCGTACCAAAAACCTCAAAGACATTTTGGCGCCTTCTAGATTTTGTGTGGATAGGAAAGTTAGTCAGGTAGAGAAAGAAACGGGAGGGTGTTTTAAATGCTCCTCTAGATGCGACCTTTGCAGGAATTTTTTAAATCAAGATTCCAAATTTAAAAGTTTTTCCACAGGCCGTACTTATAAGATTTCCTAAAACTAGTCTTGCTCTTCCAGAAATGTTGTTACTTGGCCTCGTGTAAGAAATGCAATTTACAATACGTAGGTTCTACTTCCACTGAATTCAAGGTACGTTTTCGTAATCACAAGTCGTCTATACGAACAAACAAAAAACGTGCGAGTTTGCAGTCCATTTTAATTGTATCAAACACGAGATTTCCGAAATTAATTGCATTGTTATTGAGAAAATTACCGGCCAAGGGGACGCAGCTTAGATTGATAGATTATTACTTACGAGAGAGGCCTACTGGACCGCACAACTTTGTACACTTAGTCCCCATGGACTTAACAAAAGACGCGAATTCAGATCCAAAAATCGCGTCCGCTATAGTACGTAATTAGG